ACTGGGAATTATCCTAGACTCTTCCCTCTCCCTCACCACCCCACACACATCTCATCAAATTGCCAAGTATTCTCAGTTTTGCCTCCACCACCATCTCTCTCATTTTTCTCCATTCACATAACCACCATCCCAGTTCAGGTCTTTACAACCTTTTTCACAGACTACTGCAGCAGGCTCTTCATTTGTCTCCCTGCTTCCAGGCTATCTCTTCTACATTCTATCCTTCACAAAGCTACCAAAATAATTTTTCTGAAGCACACTGTCATTCTCCTGCTCAAGAATTTTCAATGGTGCCCTAGTGCCTCCAGAAAAAAATACAAACTCCTTAGCTTGTACTTACAGCTCTTCACAATCATTCTTAGGCCTTTATTTCAAAAATTATTTCATATGTTTCAGATATACTTGAACTTTCATGAAAGGAACATGTCCTTTCATGTACTCTATGTTCCAGCTAAGTGGACCTATTTACCATTCAGAATAGATGGTATTCCATCTCCTATACCAATACAATGGTTATTATCCTCATGTTTGGATGAACTTATGGGTTTTTTTAAATAATATTTTATTTCCTTCCCAATTACATTTAAAAACAGTTTTTAACATTTTTTTAAAAATTTTTGAATCTCAAATTTTCTCTCTCCCTACCTTCTCTCCCATCTCCCTAAGAGAGTAAGCAATCTGATATAGGTTATATATGTGTTAGCACGTAAAATCTATTTTCATATTAATCATACTGTGAAAGAAGAAAGAAACCAAAAAGAAACAATGAAAAATATACAAAGTGAAAAACAGGATGCTTCAATCTGCATTCAGACTCCACTAGTTCTTTCTCTAGAGGTGGACAGCATTTTTATCATAACTCCTTTGAACCACTGTATTCCTGAGAATAGCTAAGTTATTCACAATTGATCATCGTACAAAATTGCTGTTACTGTTTCTCCCGGTTCTGCTCACTTCACTTTGCAGCAGTTTAAGTCTTTCCAGGTTTTTTTCTGAAATCATTCTGCTTGTCAATTCTTATAGCACAATAATATTCCACTTATTCACTGAGCCACCTAGCTGCTCTATCAATTGAACTGATTAAGTCCAAATAAAACACATTTACTAGCAAGATCCAGCTCAAAAGATATTCATGACCTTTTTATTTGAATGATTTTCCTGATGAATCCCCTTTTCATGAAAACAAAGCAGCCTCAGATTAACACATAGCCCTAAGATTAACATATGTGCTTTGAAAACAGACCTTATTCTTGGGGAGATGATATGTTGTATAGTAAACAGTGTTGGATTTGAAGTCAAATCCAAAACCTGAATCCCACTTGCCACACGTATGACTGCAAAAGCCCTAATTTCTCTCTATCTCACTTTCCTTATTAAATGAGGATAATTAAACTTACAGTACATGCCTCATAGGGTATAAGACTCAAATGAAATAATGTATATCAAGAACTTTGGAAACCTTAAAGCATTACAGAAATACCTGTTATCATTCTCTGAGGTAGAAGGGGATTCAAATTTGGTTTTCACTGAAAACAAAGAAAAAAGGCTTTCAGAAAGACTGCGAACCAAGATGGCAGGTAGCTAACAAGATGGTTATGTGCTGTGGTCTCAGGCTCTAAACCTCCCAAAGAGATAAAGGTTTCCTTTTGGAGATGTTTGGGAAAGGAAACTATAACATTACATTTGTATTAGCTTGAGAACACCATTTTGAATTTATTCAATCAGAGCAGAATCAACACTACCCTCTGGTGGACACTTTTGTTTTAATGATTCCTATTAGAAAGGTTAGCCAGCTATAAAGCAGGGAGAGGTGAGGGAAAATGGGATATCACTAACTGTTTGGATTACTATTAATTTCCTGAAGTTGAATCCCTTCTTCCTAATTAAAATGCTTTACAGAAATTTTGTCCTGGGGATAGAAGAAAATACAATTCTTCATGCCACACCCAAGGCCATTTAAAAAAAAAATCAAAGCTCAAAGCAAGAGGAATAGGTGACGCTACCAAATACAGAAGATGGTTATTTACAAGTTTAATTATGCACATTCAAGGGAATAGAAAGTTTTCCCTTAACAGCATTTCATATTTTACCAAAGCATAATTCATTCCCCAATTATTCCCCCTTTCCTTTTAGCCCATTCATAAGAAACCCAACAGCACCAAGACTGTAAAAATACTCTAATCTAGATCAAAGATTAGGTCCCCTCGGGACATAAAGCTCAGAACAAGCAGACAAGCAGAGTCACTCTTTCCTTTTCCCCCCCAACCCCACCTCCACACTCCCTTTCTCTTGTAATACCAAAACTCCCTTTCCCACCCTCAATGCTAGGTCACTAAAGTTGACAATTTCATGCTGGCACCTAGTATTTTTGGCTCAATCTTACCTAAAATGACAAGTGTTCATGTCATCTTCCTACTCATTAACATTCCAATTTTATCATTAAAACTAAAATAAAAAAAGTTTTTAGCCCTAAATTGTTCTCATTAGTATAAGGAGCAAATATGGATTTGCTCAGGGACTCATGACACTTCCAACTACTATCACTTTCACCTATTTCACCTTCTCATTTTAAAGCAAGAATTTAGTTAAGAAAGGGGCCAATAACTGCCATGGCTTCTTATAATCCCCAAACAGATGAGATGGCCCAGGAAGTACACTGGTTTGCTCCCCTTGGACCTTTCAAGATTCCTTTGAGATCTAATGAGCAAAGTATTTGAGGAAGCCTGTTAGGCTCAATTTGTAGGCAAGAGATACACGACAGGTTTTACTTCAGGTGGATGGATATGAAAGTGGTTGGAAGATTATACCCAAAGAGCAGCTAGGAATGGCTCAGTACCAACTTAAAAGCATCCTTTTTTATTTATACATTATAACTGACTGAATCGGAAGAAACCTAGAAAATTCTAAGCGAAGCTTTGAGAAAACAAACCCTTGGACAAAAGCACTTGGTGTAAAAATTCAGTCAGTGCTGAGAGGACCTCAGAGAAAGAAAGCAGCTCTCAAAGAAAAAATACTTACAGAAGGCAAAGAAAGTGTCTTGTTTCTCAGTGGATAATTTAAATAGGATTATTAAAAGAAGTTAGAAGTGGATACCTGAAAAACCCTGAGAACTAGCATTTTTGTTCCTTATATGAGGGGTAGCTGTTTGTGGCAGAGCCAGTAGAAATGTCACTTTTGGTTTCTCACTAGAAGACAAAGGTGAGTTAGCTCACAGAAGGAGACTTTGCTTTGAAGTCAAATAGAAACTCTAGAAGCAGACAGTCTCAGAGAAATTGGCAGGTGAAGAAACAGGATGGTGACAAGCCCAGCAAAGCCTGAAGGGGCAGAGCAGGACCCAAGACAGCCTTCTGCTGCTTGAAAAGAGCCCAGCCCAGTCCAGCTTTTTTTATAGAAAAGCAGCCAAAGTCAGAACTAAGAGAAGCAAGCACTTAGCACCTGCGCTACTCCTCTCCCCTGGGAGTTGGCTGGAGGAAACAAACTTTACACTGCTGCTAGTTGCTGAGGGGAGGAAGAAGAATCCTGTGTGACTTCATCGAGCTGGCTGGGAGAAGGAAGAGCCTGCCTGCCTTGTCTTTTACTGCCACCTAGAACTAGAGAGGGGGAAACCCCTAAGAGATTTTTCTGCCTTGTTCTTTACAGCCATTTGTGGCTTCAGATGGGGCAGCATCTCACAGCCTTGTCTAAAGGGAAGACCTGTATAGGTCTTGGGGAACGGCTCTTCCTATAAGAGTCATGGCCTTAACAGCCAATAGCCAGGAGAGAGGTAGCTCTGGCCATCAAGTGATTGTTCCCTAAGGAGACGAAGGACATTAGGGCAAGTCCAGAAATCCTGGGATGCCCTGACCACACAGCTTTATCTACTCGTGTGCCTTGCTGGATTTCCATAAGGTTGTATCCTGTTCCCCTCATAGATGCTATGGGCCTTCGTGGGAAACCATGACCCCTGTAGAACTGAAAGACAGGAAATTGCTCTCTACCTTAGAAGGCCAAGGTGAATTCAGCAGAGCCCTAAAAAATGGCTAGCCCTGTTCCTGCCAACCAGAACTAAATGAAATGCAAGCTCCATTTCCTTTTCTTCCTACTTTGACAACAGTCATAGCACAGACAACTCCACACAAAACTCAGAAAGGCAGTGCTCTGTGCTTCCTGCTGAAGAATACACTTCTTTTCTTGAAGAAAATATTTACGTGGGCCTGGCTTCATTTTAAAGTTCCAAGCGTTTCTCCATTAAAGAAAGGAGATTTGTGGTACAAAGAACAAAGATGCGTATTTGTAGCCAAGAGACCTTCCCTAAAGGGGTATTAATAATCCATTGTTTTAATCCTACTCGGAGACTCCAAAAATGAACAACAAATGACGTCTGTATTCGAGAATAAAATTAATCTCTCCGTAGGCATGGAATTTCAGGGCTTAAATTTTATAATACGACTTGCGCTCCAAGAAAAGGGAAAGGAAACTTTTTTTTTAAAGCTACATGTCTAAAACAATACTTCAGCATTAGTCTGCTCCAGGAAAATGTTTGGTTTAAAGGTCCCTCCAAAAGTATATCTACTTGTACACAGTACAAATCACTACAGATAAGAAGTTCCTACTCTTCTACAGAATAAATGAAAGAGAGCTCTATATATTAAAATGCTCCCAAAAGAAGAAAGTACCTTTGTTTGTTTCTTTTTGTTTTTAGGCAATTGGGGTAAAGTGACTTGCCCAGGGTCACACAGCTAGTACGTGTCAAGTGTTTGGTCTGAGGCCGGATCTGAACTCAGGTCCTCCTGACTTCAGGGCCAGTGCTCTATCCACTGCACCACATAGCTGCCCCTAAGAAAGTACCTGGTTATAGAGATAAGTCAACTTGGACACAGAGGAATAAAATCCCTTAAATATACTTTTAAAAGTTCAATTTAAACAATGCCTCCATAATTACAACCAAAAAACAGTGCTTCATGGTCATACCACAGAAGGCTAGAGGTGCATAAAGGGCAGCTTGCCTTAAAAAAACTTACATTCAACCTGACCACCATCCAAATGAGGTTTGCTCTTTGACTCTGGGTTTCCAGTTTTCCCATCATCATCATCCAGGAGAGGAATGTAATCTGTTTTGCTCACGGTTTCTCCCACCACATCATCAAATGTCTCTGCTTCTAGTGTGTTCATGAAGTCCCGCTTTATCTCTTCCTCAATTTCTGGTGGTGTTTCAGTTAAAGCATCTTCCAGGCTGAGGCTATTGTCAAAATGAGCCATTCTTCAACACTGAATCTGCCTCTATGAGAATAAACAAAAGGAAGTAGATGCATTTTACTAAAAAGTTCAATTAGTGACCATCAACACAGTTAGAACCAAAGAATTTTATAATCAGAAAGGGCTTTAGATATCCTGTAGTCTTCAGTCTCTCATTTTGTAGATAATCTCAATAAAGAGATTCATTGGTTTATATATTAAAATAACAACAATAATAATAGCATTTATATATCATTTCAAGGTTTGGAAAGAACTTTACATATCATTCATTTCATCTTCAAAACAACCCTTGGAAGTCAACTCTGCTACTTACTATCTGTATAACTGTGGGCAAGTCACTTAACCTCTCTGTACATTTTCCTCAACTATAAAAAGAGGGGACTGGATTAGATGATCTCTACGGCCCTCCCTGCAGATGTATCCCAAGGCTTTGTCGTGAGCCCTCTCCTGCTCTCTCTCTCTACATTTTCTCTCTCAGTGACTTCCTATGGGTTCAATGTCACTTCTCTGAAGAGAACACACAGATCTATATATCTAGACCTAGGTTCTTTCCTGAAATTTAATCCCACATCGCCATGTATATTTCAAATGAGGTGATCCACAGGCATCTCAAAGTCAACAAAAGCAACCCTTTTCTGAATTTCCCCATTTCCATTTAGCCACTGCCATCCTTTCAGTTACCCAGGTTTGCAACTGGAGAGTCATTCCAGACTACTCATTATTTCTCACCCCACATAACCAATTAGTTGGCAAATCTTGCGAATTCTACCTCCACAGCATTCCTCTCTTGTGTTTTCTTCTCCACAGTCACATGGTCACCACCCTGGTTTAGGCCTTCATCCCTCACCTGGACTATTATAAAATACTTTTGACTCACCTACCTCAAATTTTGTCCTCTCTCCAATCCATCAAAATGTCTTCCACACAGCAATCAAAATGATATTCCTAATAAGCATGTCACTCCCTTGTTCAATAAATCCACCTAATTCCCTATCACCCCTAAGATCAAGAATCAAATGCAAGTTCATTTGTTTGACATTTAAAGCCCCTGATAGTCTTGCTTCCAACAACCTCTCTGGGCTTATTTTTATTATCCCCTTTAAGCACTCTTTGGTTCAGTCAAATGACTGCTTGCTATTCCTCACACCCAACATTTCATCTTCCACCTCTCTACTTTTGCACAGGCTGTCCCTCATACCTGGAATGGCCTCCCTTCTTGCCTCTGTTTCTTAGAATCCACAGCTTCCTTGAAGCATATCTCAAATGCTACAATGCTACCTCTTAAATGATGCCTTTCCTGACCTCCCCCCACTACTATTGGATACATATTATGTACATACTTGTATACATGTACACATAAAGAGATTAGATTATAAGCTCCTACAAAGCAGAGACCATTCATTTCATTTTCATCTTTCGTGTTCTCAGAGGTAATTACAGCATACACAGACAGAGGTGGTACACAGTAGGCCCTTAATAGGTATTTATTGATTGATTTTATCTGACATTGTTATAGGCATATTTTAATAGTAATTACAGGCATAGTTTAATAGTAATAGTTTTTTTTCCTCACAAAGGTACTTGAGTTTATCATTTTAAAGACAATTTAGTATCTATTATCACACCACTGTGGAGAAAAATGTATAAGGTGACCTCAAAGAGCTTACAGTCTGTCAGTGGAAATACTAAAAGATCTATTTGGATACCTGGACAGAAACCTGAAATTCTTGCCTATATGGTTTACAATTAGATAATTTTAGATTGCATTGTCTTTCCCCTTAGTGTACTATACCTCTCCTTTCTACCACCACCACATGCACACACTGCATGATGGATAGATGGAGATGTTCTCATATGAACTAACATAGCATAATGGATAGAAGGAACACTGGTCCTGATGCCAACAAGACCTGGGTTCAAGTTCTGTTTCTGACACTTAGTTCACATAATTTCTCAATAGCCCCACACAACTCCCTAAAACAGTAAATTATAAACCAGTTGCCTATCTGCATCAATGTAGGGAGTTTCCCTACATCACTTGAAATCAGAAGTTTGGATCAAAATTCAACAACAAAAAAAATTTCAACAAAATTTTCTTCCCCTGAAATTATTTAGCAGCTCTTCTAGAATATACTCAATTTACTTAGTTTTTTTTTTAATTTTGCTAGGCAATGGGGTAAAGTGACTTGCCCAGAGTCACACAGCTACTGAGTGTTAAGTGTCTGAGTCCAGATTTGAACAACTCCAGGGCCAGTGCTCTATCCGTTGCACCACCTACCTGCCCTGAAATTTACTTACTTTCTATCAAGCACATTCTAATTGATATTTTTGGTTAAAAAAAAAATTGATGGGTTGAAAAATGAGCCAAGATGAACCATCAGTGATCCCCAGGTTCCTTGATCCTTCCCTTTCACAATCTCCAGAAATAGCCTGACTTACTGTGCTACAGCAAATCACAGGCCCTTTTCATTTCTCATTTGTTTTTCACCTAGGTCCAGAGGATAAGGTTACCACAAAAATAAAATAAATATTTTTCCTCTGGTTCTCAGATGACCAGAAATACCCCAAGGCCTTTCCTATATAATGCTTGCTTCGGTCAGAGAACAATAATACTCACAAGCTTAGAATCCAGATAGACAACAAAACACAACAGAGCCAGACAACAAAACGCAACAGAGTCAGACAACAAAACATAATCTGTAAGCTCAGCAGACGCTAAAACTGGTCTTTGCTCTGGCTGCTTAGGCAAAGCGTTGTGCAGAGGAGTTAACTTCGAGCCTGTGGTAGGAGAAAATCAACTGATAGACTAAGTTTTAGCTTTAGGATAAGTGTTTCCCGGGGCCATATCACAGAACTTCTTCTCCCATGGACTCCAATATTGGGCAACTGCACCAACTTCAATAGGTCGAAATATCATTTGTAGGCAGGTGACCCAGATCTATATACCCAGGCCTAAACTCCCTTCTTAACACCAATCATGAGCCAACACCCTGCTAGATTTCTCCTCTTGGGTATCCCATAGGAATCTATGTCTAAAAACACAGGACTCATTCTGTCCAAGCTTCCTTCTTCATCCAACTCCAAAACCTCAGTGACATCCTTGACTTTTCCCTCTCTTTCATTCTCCATACCCAATCACAGTTGCCAAGTCTTCTCTACCTCCCATGCTAAACACAGTTAACTGGAGGCATTTACTAAAAGTTCTTCTATTTGTAAATTCCTCCTCTTTAATCAACTCTCAAGCTACCTCCTGGGTGACATATAATTAGAAAATATAAATAGGAATTTCAGTTGATGATTAAAAATATAACTCTACTGCAGAAACATAATACCTTTCAGAATAAATTACTGTATAATTATCTGCTATTAATTATCTATGTCACTACTGTTTTCTTAGTTAAAATAAATCAAGAGTTGAAGATATATATATGTCACTAGAAAGGAATCAAGAGTCCAATCCCAGATATTACCTTTCATTTAAAATTTTTTTTCACTTAAACTGAAACAAATTTTCCCCTCCCACTTCCCTTTACTCCCATTGAACAACAATACCCCATGCCAAAAAAAGCATATGCCTCACTCTCCATCTTCAGTCTACCACTTCTCTGTGGATGCTATTTCCTACTCTAATATACCATTGAAAGGTAGGTCAATCTCTCTGCGCTTTAGATTCTTTATCTAGAAATAAACTAAAATAATCATAAAAATAAACTGCTCACAAGGACCCTAGATATGTATCCATGTATCTTAAAACAAAGTACTTTGTATTCTACCCCAAATGCCAGGTTACACAAGATTTTACTAAGCAGTGCCCTTTGACAAGAGGAAAAGCCAATGACCATATCAGTACACCATGCTTTTTTTGGGGTTCCATGGCAATAGGGTCTCAAGAACCACTCCACTTCACATTCATGCTAAGCTCAAAGAGGATTTGAGAGCCTACCAAAAATCAAGTCCAGTATCATCCAGTGAGGAGCAAACAGGCCAAATATTTTAAAAATATAGTACTTTTAAGTGACCATTCTTATGCACTGGTTGGTGGAATCATCTGACAATATAGCAGCTCACATTTGGAAAACAGTTAAACTGTGCTAGGGGAATCTAATAACACTACATTGATGAAGCAAGAAAAAGAACCTAAAGCAGATTCTCATTACCTCTAGCCTGCTTATACTTCTCTGTTGGTACTTTACGGTACTGGTCTCAATCAATCATTTATTAAGCACCTACAATGTAATAGGTACATAGGTACCATAGCTCAGTGTAGGGTCACAGGAAAAAATCAAACATTCCTTGTCACCAAAGAGTTTGCATTCTATCTATTCTGCATACATAAGCACCTACAAGAGTCATCAAAAGCAGACTAAACATAATTTTGAATGGAAAAGGACTAGTAAGTGAGTTTAACAGGAAAAATCTGTAGAAGATAGCACTTGGGTTTTGTTTCCAAAGAAGCTAAGGACTCCTACAGGAGGAGGTGATTAACCAGACGGGGGGGGGGGGGGGGGGGGGGTTGCATGAAGATTAGGAGGCTGAGTTTCAGGTAAGGAACAGCAAGTAAGTCATTATGACTGGACAGTAGAGTGAATATTTGAGAATAATGAATAAGGTGTCCAGAGAGGTAGAAAGGGCCAAGGTTAATAGAAAACTACTAGAGTTTTTGTGTGTGTGTGTGTGTGTGTGTGTGTGTGTGTGTGTGTGTGTGTGTGTGTGTGTGTGTGTGTAAAATCAGGCCCAAACTGAAGGAACATCACTCTAGTAGCTGTATAAAAGGTAAGAGTGGGGGCAGCTAGGTGCCACAGTGGATAGAAGCACCGACCCTGAGGTCAGGAGGACCTAAGTTCAAATACAGCCTCAGACACATAATACTCACTGGCTGTGTGACCCTGGGCAAGTCGCTTAACCCCACTGCCTAGCCAAAAACAAACAAAAAAAAAAGATAGAGTGGAGCAAAGTTGAAAAAGTTTGAAGTAGGTAGTCCAAAGTGGAGGCAAGAGCTGTTGGCTATGTGATTTTGGAGAATA